TTAGACAAAATGTATTATTTATTTTAAATAGTTTGGGATCCAAAAGAAGAAATGAATTATTAAAACTTTACTTCCTATTTACTAAAATTGCACGTAACAGTAGTGTAAGACTGAAGATGAGAGAGGCTCAATATAAATGCCAGGTCCTAATGGCACTTATTCCTCCAGTCAATATCCATGACTGGAAGGGACATTCATATCTACACTCCAGTTTTATCCAGTTGGTTATCTGCCAGCATTTATATATTTATACAATTAGTGGGTGTAGACATATCTCACAACATGAAAGGACTACTGAAGGAAAGATCCTAGCAGCATCAAAATCTCAATTTACTAAATTCAAACTTCAATTGGCATGGCTATCAGTTACTGCAACTTCAGCCCCAAGACCTGATTAGTGGTAGCCCTGTCAAATTAAATGTGCATGTCTGGACGACATATTGGACTCTCTGAAGCCAACTCTCCCACTCAGGGAGTCAACGTTGAGGCAAAATCTCTGACATGGCACAATCAGAATGTCCTTATTGGAGTAGTCTATTTCCTTGATTGAGCTCAAGTTTCGCAAATGAGGCACCAGCCGGGGCCAGAGCTCCCTGGGGAATTAGCAAAGTGGGAAGGAAATACAATAAAATGTCAGGGCCAATTAAACTATAAATGCATTAGGTCTTGCTCACCAGTTGCTTGCCTTTTCCAGCTAAATGATTCTAGAAATGGAACTGTCAACCAATATGCATAATGTGAAAATGCTCTAATGTTTTTTTGCCTGGTTCAACATGCTAAACATGAATTCTGGTGCAGCAGACTCCACCCGAGCCATTAGGACCAATAGTTCACTTTTCTGTGGAAGATGCATGACATGAAAAAATGAGTGATGTTTCAATCAAGTGCAGAATTGACATCATACTTTATTTATCCTGTCAGCCATTGGTTATTAACCTAACTTTAAATTTACCACATTAGTAATCATACCAGTGGATCATAAGTGATGGACAAATCATGTATATGACTTTCTAGCTTCCATGACAGCATATCAATTGTAAGCCTGTGTGTATGCAGGCTCAGAGAAAAACAACTTTGTTTGCTGTCTGTTTATATAGGGTATGGGAGCCAATCTCCTGATATTATGAACGACAATGGACCTATTATACAAATGCTTTATTTACCAAACATTGCAGATCACTAAATAAGAAACTGGATCTGTCCACGATGACCACAAATACAGATTATTTAAAAATTCACTGTTGTTGTGCTCCCACCGTAGCCTAAAAACCAAGGCTAAGCTTTGGAATGTAATGCTGCTACAGGACATAAAACCCCTGCAAAGAATTTGTCCTCACCTAGGTTTGACTTCTCTCTCTTTTGGCGAAGCAACCCTGATATATGACTGGTCTAGCCACAGACACCACAGGGGTCCCTCTGCTCTGGACTGAGAGTTGATAAGGAACTCCCTCTCTAAAAAATGTCTTTTCGAATTGACTTGCATCGATGATAGGATTAAGGATTCAGGCTCTCCAGCTTTCAGCGATTAGGCCTCTCCAACCCAACGCTTCCCTGGACCAAACCTCGTCAGTGATACCTATGTTCCAGCTTGCGTGTTAGAGAGCACGAACCACTGTAGCATCACCAAGAAACCCAGCCGTTTACAAGATCCCCAATCGATTCCCGCGACAAAGGACCAAGAGGATGCTGGGTTAAACACGACTCGAGGATACACAACAAATCCTATTAACTTACAGTAAGGCTACGACTGGCCAGAAGTTAGATTAGCATGCTCGTTATTTTTGTTTTGATGTTTACTACATTGTTTAACGAGCAATTGTGTATGTTTATGAACTGCATGACAGTCTGATGAAGTTAACTGCTATCGTGTCTCACTGAAGTGGATAAGATCTGCTTTGGGTTGAGTCTTTTCTTCTTTTTTTGAATTAACACCGCTGTCCCTCCACACGTATAGATACAGACAAATCTTACACTATGCAAGGACCAGACGTGGTGGACAAACACAGGCTCTTAGCAGCACCTGGGCCAGCTCGTAGCCACGCGTAGCCTGCCGTATGGTCAATAGCTTTGCTGCCAGGGAGCGCCTCCCTCCCTCACTCACACAAAACGGCACAACACACTCCTCTCCCTCCACAATCCTACACGATTAAATGTTTTTATTTGTTGTTTAGATATTGGGATGTCGTATACAAGCTTTTGTTGACTTGAAATTGTATTGATCTGATTAGTATTGTTGAAAGTTAATAAACCTGGAAACATAGCCAGTACAAACTGAAACCTTCCATTCTGTGCTCTTAATGAGTGTATATCAATTACGAGACTTGATTTAGGGTTTAGTTATTAGTCCCTTTTTAGGGTGGTGCCCTAATATTTATTTTTAATTATCTTCGTGATTATTAATAGTTCTATTGATGTTGATTATTCATTTCACACTGGCTATTAACCAAAACAATGCTCCTATACCGTTCCCAACACGGTTTTATTGAAAAAGAGCACTCTTTATTAGTATAATTTATTAGCAATATGACTGCTGGCCACAGACACAGTCTGTATTAATGTGATGTTAAAGTGACATGACAGCAGTGCATCAATCCCCTTCACGGCTTTCCACTAAGAAGCCATTTATTGCCATATATGTTACATAGAAGAATTTGACTTGGTGAATTGGTGCAATGTAAGAATAAAATAAGATAAAGTCTAAATTCAATGTGCTAAATAAGAAACTGACTCTTAATGCAATGGGATTTTATGATGCAAGAAGTGGGCAGAGTTAGAGTCAACCGAAAAAATAATAAGTAGTATGCCACAACTTTAAACAGTAGCGTGCTGTAAAAAAATATTTTCTTCCAAGACGTCAACCGTTGCTGTATTTTACAGTATTCAACTGTATTCTCGTAATTTTTTTCGTAATTTGTTACAGTGTAAATATTTTCTCAGTAATTGCATGCTTTTGATTTTGATCTATATTGTTTGGTGTGAGTGTGTGAGTGTGTGGCCCATTTGGTTATTTTTATAGTTCTTAGAGCTGATGGAAGGCTGGTTTAATACATATCTTTGAATGAATGTTATCTTTTTTTAAATTGTTTAAATGTTGTAATCTGGGGAATCCTATGCCTTAGTCTGTTTACTTCGGTCACCTGTGGATCTGTGGTTAAATAATTCTACTAGAAAATATCCTCAACCTGCGGTACTGGTGGTCATTTCATTTTATCTGTTTTTAAAGGAAACAAAACTTTGTGGAGCTGTGTTTAGCCATTATGTGCAGTATATGCCCTTGGTAAATCCTTTGAGGATCTGAGAGTGTTTTATTGATATTTTCAAACGGAAACCAAAAAACTGATCAGTTCAGTCTGGCTTTTATGTAGTATATTTCAATTTGTTTTTAGTTTCTATCCAATTTTACAGTGTATTTATTTTTATCCTTAGATTTATACATTTATTTCACTCCGTTCTACTCAATGTATTCTGTGTTGCACATTTCTGTTCATGGTTATTTTCTTCACTTTGTGTGGTCTGTTATTGTCTTGACTCCTGTTGCAATAGTCTAGAGACCTTCGGACTGAGTTATTCACCACCTTGTATCAGGGGGATCTCAGATTTAGGGAAAGAAATCAGCAGTGGTATAAATGGTCTACTGCCACATCTCAAAGGAATGCAGTCAGCCCTCATTTCCACAATGTGCATTGTTACATTGTTTGCGCTCTGCTGTGAATTAATATTGTGGGAAACATGAGTGTTGGCCAAACAATCTAATTGGAACTAAACTCCTCAATGTGGCTGCAATCAACTCTATATGACAAGGATGATCTTATTTAATAGCCTGTAGGTGTCATCTGTCCATTCACTTTCAAGACATTTGACTGGGCTAGATCAATATTTGTTTAAATATTTAAATAAATATCCTATATCCAGTCATTTGATATGCTTGAAGTTTCTGCTTGACCACAGCGGCAAGATCCTTTTTTGATTTATAGCAGTATCTCTCAAGGTCATTAGATCTGAAACAGAAAGGCAATCGTGGTACTGTATTATCTATATTTGGAGCCCAGTTGGTAATTTTTTGTCCATGGGCCTGTAGGATTTACATAACTATCATTGTAACTGTTTATTTGTGCAATCCCCCCACAAACTGACGAAAGTATACGGTTTCGAATATACAGTCCATCTGTAAAAAGAAGAATCTTATAAAATATTTGTGTCAAATTGATGTTGAATATTCTTTTTTACTGCAAAATTACACCAGGTTATTGAATTGCTGCGTGCAATCCACACGACTTTTGAGGCTATTATAGACAGGGAATAACACCTTAGGCCCACCTCTGACTTCAACTTCAATTTCATGCATCACATGACTACATCCACTAATAAAGTAAGTAATAAAGGAGGCAAAATGTTATTTGTGGCAATAAGACAATGTTGGTATCCAAAATATGTTTGTCCCTGTGTGAGCCATTTTCACATGTATTCATTTACCATCCCAATTGTACATGTTACTCACAGGAAACATTGGATATTTAGATTATTACTGGGAAATTAAGGGCAATATTATGTAAACAATCATGAACATTCTCTATTTACCACGTACTTGTACATCACATATGGGCCACTTTATATCCGATAATGTAAATACACAGGCCTATCTACATCCCTGACCCCATACCGAGATCCATCATGTTATGAGCCATTGTTTATATTCTATATATTATGATTTTACACCACGCAGACATCTTAGACGTTTATATTTCCCACTTTATGATATTAATGTATGGGTAATATATATATTGAATATATTGGAATCTATATTTATGAATGGAAATAATAAAGTTAAATTTATTATTGCCGTTTTGCCGAACATAAAACATAAAACACTGAAATATGAACGTACTGTGCTTTTAAATCTACATCGAATCTGCCCCACAATGTTTGACCAATCGGCGTCTCTGACACACAACCTCCTCGCTGCATTGTAGACCAATCACAGCTGCTCTTTCTACATCGGCAGCGCACTCAAGTTGTAGCAGTCTGGTTGGTCTCGTCTTCAGTCAAACAGCGCAGCGAGCCCGTCCATCGTGTGGCGGACACGGTAAGTGTACCGTTGTGTACACGCAAAATGCCCGGAAAGTGAGTGAAGAGGACAGTGGGACTGTCCTGACATTGGCGCTGGATTTTGTTCGAGTTTTCTGACCAAAAACCTGAGTCTCCTGCGCCGTATCCGCAGCATTGGGTAGGTTTTGTTTTTTTGGCGCTGTGATGTTGTTGCTATGTCCTCTCTGCTGGGTCCTTGTAGCCCGCAAGCTACGACAATCAAACGCTCATTTGTGTCCAGCGTGTGTGTGTTTTTTACCGTGTTATGTCAGCTTCTTAACCTCAACATAGCTAATTCTCCCGCGGGTGACACTATTGCTCGTGTTCGGCGTGTTCGCTATTAAGATCGGATAACCGTATTATCACCGCTTATATAATCACGTATAAACGAACAACATGCCGCGAATGCATTTATTCCGGTATGTAACGTCACGTTGACGGAAAGGGCCGTTACATGCCGCCCGTAAGTCCAGGGGATTCATGACGTGACATTAGGTCACACACTCCGTTTTAGACACCGAGATCTTTTTTTTTTTTTTAACAAATGTGAAGACATTTTAAAAACGTGATGAACCCTCTGCACTGGAAAATAACTCGTCACAACACCTAGAAACCCTCTTCCCTCTATTCCACACGAACGCAGCGTTTGTCACACTACGTAACGTCCACGTTTCATGTACATTTCTAGGCTTTTGGGTTTAGATACTCATGTTAAATTAACCAGACCAAATCACAAACGGAACCCTCCATTGACTTCCATTGAACTGTGCTCCTCGCGATGTCTATTGGACGCAGAATTGTAATAGTTTGGTTTGAGGTTGGGCAGGCCGATGACTTAAATATATAATGGAATGTCATAGGGTTGTGTACGTGTTTTGGCCTGTAAGTGCAGCTTGGAAAAAAATGACCAAGCCTCAGTTAATCACATCTGTCTAGCTTATGCTAAGTAGTTTGCTCCATATATTCATGTGAGATCCACAGACAGTGGAAACCTGGTTATTTTCTTAGCAAAGTTTTGTCAGGCTCCTAAAGCATCTTAATTGCGTACTGCAGATGTCAAACTAGCAGGAAAATGCCTGGTTCATAAATTGTTCAGAGGATTTAAAGAAGAAGCCCCTCTCCTCTTTTGCTGCAAGGCCTGTAAGGTTAATTGACCCCTCGTGTCACTATTGGATTTTCAACTGTGTAAATACTCGCTCATTCACTCCTCTTATTAGGTACACCCTGCTACTAAGAGGTTGGACCCCTTTTGCCTTCAGAAGGTGTGTGTGTGTGTGTGTGTGTGTGTGTCTACATATTAGGGCTGTCAATAGAGGTGTATCTCAAATGTGTGTAGTTTTGTGTTTAAACAACTAAATAACAAAACCTCAGACATTTGATCAACTCCAAGGCAGAGTTCCACCAGGTGGAACATGTTGAACTAGTGACTCTCTCTGCTGTCCTCGTGCAGTCTGCCGTGCTCTCAATTCATTTGACGGGCCGTGTTTTGAAGTGCTCAAAAATCTCCCCACATGTAGCCAGGACGTTTTCAAACCACTGTCTTTCAAGGCAACAGTTGTGGTCCTCTGCAGACGGTGTGCCGTGCAGGGTAGATGTTGAGATGGAAGTAGACCACCATCAGTTTGCCACTTACCCCCCTCTTTTTTTTAACTTTAAATGCAAAAAACACTCTACTGTCTTGTTTCCGGGGTCAACGAACACAGGAAGTAAACAAAATTGCTTTAACTGCTAACTAAAATATTTTATCGCATTAATCTCAATAACCTCATAGATTAACACGTTAACTTTAAAAGCCCCAATATAGATCGGTATATATGTTAGTGCTGTCCAAAAACGATTTCCTTTAAAAAAACACATTCAAATTTTTGGTTGTGCGTTAGGCACGTCAATAACAGGAGAAATTAACACAACAAGACATAACTACTTGTATAGGTAATTAGTTTAGTATAGTAAGTTTAAACATATTTAACAAATTACCAATACAAAAATAAGTAAATGAACTAGTGGCCAAGACCGCAGACCTTGGCCTCTCGCTCGTTTTTTTCTTTCTCTTTCTCGCCCCCTCTGCATAGCGGTTTAAATGAACAATAAACAAGTGCTGATCAAGAGCTTACACACTACTTTAGCTGTAGGCTCAACAGGTTTACCATCAACTGATCAAAATATTTCCAGACATTTGTCCTTTAACCGGGTGTATGGTGTGGTGGTAACAACCTTTTCGCAATGCAGGAAGGACTGCTGTGTTTTAAAGTGTGACCACGTCCTGCGTGAACTGCATGTGTACTCCAGTAAGACATTTAGTTTACTTTTCGAGTCGGGGAGTGATGTTTCAACTTATCTAGGATGGAGAACGCATACTGCTTAGGCAGTGTGAAGACATATTGCACATCTGCAACCACGTGAGGTCAAATCTAGCAGAAATTATTTTTTGGAGGTTACAATCACTTTCTCTGCTGCGGTCAAGCTCGGTTCTGCACCTTTTTCCATCTTCCACGCAAGTCAACTGTCAGCAGTGACTCTGTGCCAGAGAGTGTGACTCCTGTGACCTCTCCCTGACCTCAGGCACGCTCTCACCCTCAAAGCAGACAGTCGTGACGCTGCTGTTTTTTGGGGGTTAGGGTTAGTGTTCCTAACCCTTTTTTTTGCATTCATATATATAATTAATACCTGTGTGTGTTAGTTATATATTTAAGACAGAGAGGACTACCATATACATTTGAGAGTTGTGTTCATAATATAATTAGTCAATCTTTAGAATAAAGGAGGGCAAGGCTCAGGGTTCACAATGCACGCCTCAGGCACTACATGTCTTAACCTCTTCTATGAAGGACAAACAATAAGTTACCACATTGCTTAAGATGAGTCTTTGTTCATTTCTGACTCATTGTAACTTTCGTTATCAAAAGATAAAACAAGCTTTTCCATTTGTTTAAAGTGCACCAGGATTGCTCGCGCTAGCTAATCTTAACCGCACTGATGACTCGGTCGTGGCAGCAGGTAACGATAGCCTACCATTTACAGAGTAGTGTAAAAGAATCTGCTCAGGCACCGTTTTTTGGTATCTAACCATTTTGGCCACATTGAAACGTGATATATTAGATACAACAACACTATTAATTATCAATTCATCTATTGTCAGAAAGCTATAAACTATAATAGATTCATTTATTTATTATTTGATAAAACAGCCATTTTGGTTCTAATTATTAGCTTTGTCTAATTACTGTATTTTCATCTACAGTGGTGGTTTGCAGATGCAACACGCAATTTAGATCAAATAAAAACATGTGAACAATGTGACAACACTGTCCTCTTTACCTTTTTTTGTTTATCCACCAAAGAGAACAAACAGTATAGATTGTCGGTCAGGGAAAGACTGGTTAAAATATTAAAATATTTGAAGTATTATATAGTATAGTATATTTTTATTGTTTTGATTATTAAATAAGAGTAATTGTTAATTGCAGCCCTAATTGCAAGAGCAATATTGATGTTGTTGATATAAACAGGAGGATATTGTTAGCTCTGTATACATTATTTCTGGATTTGCAACTTTCCATGGAGCCAAATTAATTTCACTATTGCAGGAAAACGAACACAAATGTATTTATTTGGATAAACCGGCTGAACGCACTGTCACATATGCTTTTATGTTTTTTGATTGTATAGTATTGTCCTGCTTACCAAGCTGACAGCCTTAACAGCACACACAAATGATGTGTATTTTGACGTTTTTGATATCCCACAGTCAAATGTGAGAAATATCGCCCTCCCCGGAGAAAAGGATAACCAACTTCAGTATGATAAACAACCAAGAACCTTAAGATACAAATCTCCAGAGAACCCTCCCACACAGATGGTCCATGACCAGTGTGTCCGGGTGCCTTTGAAATTGTGTTGATACTACTCAAGTTCTTCCTCCCAATGACACACTTCCACTGAGTCAAGTCATTGGCAGATCTACTCCAACGCGCCACATCACTGATTAGTGATGCGGCCTTTAAAACCTTTGCATTGGAATGGTGGGTGTGTATCTGCTGGATGTTTCATTACTTTAACCGCGTGTATGGTAACAACCTTTTTTCGCAATGCAGGAAGGACTGCTGTGTTTCAAAGTGTGACCACGTCCTGTGTGAACTGCATGTGTACTCCAGTAAGACATTAGCTGACATTTAGTTTACTTTTCGAGTGGGGGAGTGATTGCTCAACTTATTCAGGATGGAGAAAGACATATTGCACCCCTGCAACCACGTGAGGTCAAATCTAGCAGAAATGATTCAGTCCAATGGACCTTAAAATTCAGGTCAGAGCTAGCATCACACACAAGTTTGTTTAATCCAACATTAGTTATTATTGATTATGGAAAGTCCCAGCATGATGTGCATTCTGTTCCTTTAGAAGAGGAGGGGGCCACACGTAATGGCTGTTGTTGGTGATGAATATGATTATTCTGCTGATGAAACAATATTGGACTTTGTCTGTTCTGGTCCCCCCCCACCCCCAGTTTTAAACCGAGGGGAAGAACTGTCTTGTGTGCTTTCATATGGTAAGTCTGGAGGACAAAATCATTTGGAATGTCGATCTTCTTGACGCTGGGAAACGGGAGTCTAGTCTGGCGCTCAGAAAATGGTGCGATGTGGACACAGGCCGAAGGAGTTTCCGCTTTGGCTTTACTTTACAGAACCAGAGGTTGGAGAACGACATCCATTATCGCTGTAACACAGTCCAGCTGGAGGTGGATTGTGTTTGCTCATACCATGTGATTGATGGCAGCCTGAGGGTTAAAGGTTGTGCACAATGTATTGGTCACAGTCCAGCTGGTTGATCCTCTAGAGAGGACGTTCAAGAATGTACCAGATCAGATGTTTGTTTGGAGACTTTATAAAGGAGGGACCATTTGTCAGTATGAGGACAGCAGTCAGAGACCCGGGCTACAGTTTCCACGGAACATTGTAATTTATAGGGTGTGGAGGACAAAGTGTGGAGGATACAGCGTAGTACATGGCTCAGCCAGCCATGCTTCATTTTTAATCCCTCCACTCTTCAATAAGTGTGGACAAAAGCAACAAGTTCCGTGCAGCGTTATATGACGGATAGCTCAAACCAACTGATTCTCTTGGGCCTCTGCCAGTAACCCTTCATCCGCTCGAACACCTAATGGAAGAAACCTTTCAACCTGGCCATGTCTAAGAAGAGCGGCCAGTAGAACCCCGCTGTTACATTAATGTACTCATTGGTATCGCAGACTTCTCCCACCAGGGCTTCATGAGGTAGTTATTAAGTGTTGATGTGGTTTGGTTTCACCGGTACTCCATGGAGAGCGGTGTCATTCTCCACTGCTTCCCCTAACAGATCAATTGAAGAAAAAAAAAATCCTGCGAGTAGGATACTATATCAATAACGGGAGTGGAAAGCCTCAATTCATTTAACACAAACACATTTCAGCACCAGTGCAAGATGTAACACGACACTGGTCTGAGTCAAGCAGGCACACAAAAGGGAGACAGACGCAGGTTGAATGTATAATCAACACCTTTAGTATTTCTTACTAATGATCAAATTTGTTTTGAATAAGAAAAGTGCTGTGATGTTGATTTGACTTGACAGGCGTGTGTTAATACCAACGACTCATCTGCTGTTGTATTTCTCCCATTCCACCTCTTTGTTCTCACAAACGTCACTTTTCTGCTCTGCTGCAAAACACTGCCTGTTCGGTTTAATGTTCTAGATAATTGTAGTGCATTTAGTTACTTAATATCCTCTGTCTATAATTTTGTTCAGTGGCTGTTTTCGGTAAGGACTTAAAGAGAATGATGTTCGATGTCAAAGGGGCTTGACCTGAGCTGCACTCCGTTCCCCTTTAGGGAACCGACATGCTTCTCTTACTGATAGACCTAACATGTTTGCAGCCAGGCACATTTTATGACTTCCCCTCCCTTTAACAATGAAACACCATGAAGAGGTCACAGAGATGTGAGAAGCTAAGGGGGCTAAAAGCAAAGCCTAACAAATAAACCATATCAGATGCTACACCTTATGATCATCCTTGGTACAGTCTTTGCACATTTTTAAATGTTTCAGTCCCAATAGAAGGAAAATGCAAGGAATTACCTATAATGTTTGATTGCGAAATGCTCCTCACTTGTATAACTAAGAGTTAACATTTGAAGATGTTTGCCTAATAGCAACAATGTGTCTGACACTGTGAGCAGCGGGGCTCATCTAGAGCTTTGGCACGTTGCTCCTGATGTTTTTCTCAGCAAAAGTCAGGGAAAAATGGTCTGTTGAGGGAAGAGTCTATATACAGTCTATAAATGAAACATAAAAAGCTAGAGCAAAGCAGATGACGTTGTCTTAGTCATTCTGTTGTGCTTTGTCCAGATGAATGTGCATCCAGACAGTCCCTGCGATACAATCAAGGGAGAGTCTGGATCACTGGGCTTATCGCTCCGATGTGATGAAAAGCAGCCTGTCACACGGAGACGGTAAAGTCAATGCTGGCGGCTTGTAAACAGTCATACTTCATTTTATTTTCTATAGCAAATACACACGCGACAGTCTTTTCCTCGCCCGGGGGGAACATTTTTGCGTGCAGCCCACTCGTTAATAATCACTGGTCGACATCAATGGTTTGGATTGACATGTCTCGACAACAACATTTTAAATGTTTATTTTTGGTAGTGACTTAACTATGATTGATCACTTTACATGATCATCAATTTATGTTTGATTGTTGTGACCTAAAAATATACTTTGATCAAACAGAATGACGTACGTAAGTGAGGCATTCCTGTGGCTCCTTCTCAGGGGGGCGACTGAGGCTTAGACGCCTGCACAGACAAAACACCCACCTTTGGTGACCAGATGGGTCCTGAACCGAGCTAGAACCGACATTTCAGGTTCACCTGGTTTGACGCATTAGAGTCCTGGCAACAATATGCCATGATCAACTTCTAAAATACTCCGAACACAACTTTAGTCAGTGTAGTAAAAAACAAAACACAAACCGCACCAGTGGACTGCCCTGAATCTAGTGATACCTTTACAATATTTCTCTCAGACAAACCATACAGAGGTTAGAGTACAATAGGCACTAAGCCATTGCAGCGGATGAACCAAAAATATCTCATAACTGCGCAAATCAGTCCCGGTAATAAAAATAAAGACCAAAATAAAGTTTGCTCATGAACAAAGATATGCATGCTTCCCTGCTTCGATGCTAAATGCTATGACGGCAAGAATCCGGGGATATCTTTAAACCTTTCTCTCAGACAAATCATGACGAGCTGAAGTGCAAAACCGACCAAAACATCAAAGTGAAAAAACCCTAAATATGTCTTACCAGTTTTCACAGAAATGATGGAATTAATCTACTGTTTTTGCATCCTGCACTGTCTCTCCCTGTGGTGTAATGGCGTCAGGGGGGTTTAAAGTTTTAATTTTTGTTAATTTTACAGCATCAAAAATCTTCAGGGTCATTTGACGCTCTACCAATTTTTGTAAGGAAGTTGTCGATCATTTCCGTGTCACTTTTGTCCTAATCATTGAGATCAGACAATTCAGTGATAATGGAATGGGGCATTTCGAGCAAAGAGGGGAAGTTATAAAAAATCTCCTTTTTGACTGTGCCATTCAGCTGACGTAAAGGCCTTCACAAAAGCCTTCTAGCAGTTTAACCTCACTCTATCAACGAGAAACTTGACATGTGACTCAATCAGAAGCTGACTGTTAAATGTCACTATTACCACTTGCTGATAAATCAAAGCCGAAGTACCATCTAGCCAGAGCTATCTTTGGTTCTACGAGTTTGTCATTTATCTTTTTCAGTGGTCGTTGAGTTCTGTCTACTTACTCTTCATTACACGTCGAGGAGACCGTTGCTGGAAGCAAGACTATTGAATAGTCTCAAGACCATTATGTTTGAAGCACTTTTGTGTCAAATTTGGGTTTTAAAAATTGCAAAGTAAAATGTAACCAAAGTGTTCAAAATATCTTCAATTAAAAAAAGACGTGACTACTCCGACCAGTTTCCCCTCTGTGGAATTATTCTGAGATGTTGAAGTGCATAATGATAAGCAAGTTCGATTTCATTCTCTGCCTGATATTGCTCTGTATTTTAGAATATTGCTGATAAAATTATACTTTTGGTAAGGTTTTGTCATGGAATTGAGGAACACTGCCCTGGTGTATACTTACAACTATATTTCTTTTTGTTTAACAATTCAGGCCTCATGGAGCTGGGGACTCAACGGCTGCTGTACACCAGGGAACTTGATCCATGCCCGGTTCCCGGCAACCTACCATAGAGAGTGGGAACCTTGATGACCGTTTGTTTTACCCCCATTTCTCCCCTCAATTTGGTCCCGTGGTGATATCGTCCTCTCCTTCCTGCGTTCTGCAAAATGATTGGCAAGCTGAAACAGAACTTGCTGGTGGCGTGTCTGGTCATCAGCTCGGTCACGGTCTTCTACCTGGGCCGCCACGCCATGGAGTGCCACCAACGCATCGAAGAGCATGGCCAGTTGGGCGCCATCCTGCCTCTGTCTGCCCTGGGGGGCAGCATGCGGACCACCCTACGGACAGGGCAAAATCTTAGCATGCCCTTCGTTTACAACAAAGACATGCCACTCATCTTCATTGGGGGTGTGCCCCGCAGTGGAACCACGCTAATGCGAGCTATGTTGGATGCCCACCCCGAGGTGCGCTGTGGTGAAGAGACCCGTGTCATCCCTCGTATTCTGGCCATGAAGCAGATGTGGAGCCGCTCGGGCCGGGAGAAGATGCGCCTGGACGAGGCAGGCGTAACGGATGAGGTGCTGGATGCTGCCATGCAGGCCTTCCTCCTGGAAATCATTGTCAAACACGGAGAGCCTGCCAACTTTCTCTGCAACAAGGACCCTTTTGCTTTGAAGTCACTCTCCTACCTGGCCAAAATCTTTCCACGTGCCAAGTTTGTGCTCATGATTCGCGACGGCCGGGCTTCCGTCCATTCCATGATCTCGAGGAAGGTAACAATCGCCGGATTTGACCTGGGCAGCTACCGCGACTGCCTGACCAAGTGGAATCGGGCGATAGAGACTATGTACACTCAGTGCCTGGAGGCAGCTGACAAATGCCTACCTATGCACTATGAAGAGTTGGTCCTTCATCCTGAGAAATGGATGAAGACACTGCTGAAATTCCTTGACGTTCCTTGGAATGATGCAGTCCTCCGCCACGAGGAGCTCATTGGGAAAGCTGGAGGAGTGTCCCTCTCCAAGTGAGTAATGTTGACCACTTCTAGAACATTTAGTTGCAATAGTTAAAGCATGGATGCCAATCAAGCTCACTTCCCTAGGTTTATAACTTTTCCGGGGGGAACAGACCAGCCGACGGGAGGTGAGAGGTGGTAGTAGGATGCGCAACCTCTGTTCGCTGGCCAAATTTAGAGTAAAAGAACCACTCAACACTTCACACATGCATCCTACCCTTGTCGTTTTGAACAAAATTTTGAAATTAATCTGCTCATTCTGCACTGTAATACGTTTAGCATCCATCTTGCATGACCACAGCTTCTTGTTGCTTTTTACCAATGTTAGGGGGGTGGAGGGGTTAGAGAATCTGAATAGCTAAAGGAGTTGTTGCTCCTTTGCTCGTCATTCTAGTTGGTTCCAATACGATCAGACAATTCAAAAGAGGGGTTGACCGTTGCAAATCGGCCAACCACAGCCAGACTTGGACACGTGTCTTTTAGTCTTGCAAACTATACCAGCCCTGCTTTACTGCTTTTGTTAACGAGTTAACACTAAATTATCATGCTTGTCAAACTAGATATTGAGTGAACACCAGCACCAGAAGACTTAATGGAGGGAAGTAACGGTCCTCACTTCAAAAGTGAACAAAAGTAGGATTCTGCAGTGATTTACCTTGCAAAGATCCACTTTTATAAAATATTTCTTACTGCCACCTTTAAAATAAGCATGTTGGCCTTGAAGACTTTCATTATTAGGTCTCATTTAGAAATGAAGCCTTGCACGGCTGAGCACCGCGAGGAACCCAGACATTAATGAACACATGAGACTGTGCCTCTGTGATACTGTAAGCAGCTTCTCCTAATGGCCCGGCCTGGTGTCAGAGATGTTTTGGTTCTAGTGACTTGAGTGGTTAGCCTCTGGAAGACTGAGGAAACACTAATTATTTACATTTGTTTTCCCTCCCTACTCCCTCTGCTAAAACCTCATCCTTCCACGTAGCATCATAACACACACACACTTCCTCTGGGAGAACACTGGTACGACCAACTTTCTTACTAGTTGGAAAAGCATTTTTAACTACCAATTTTTCAGTGGTAGAATGGGACATTTATTCAACTTCTACTGTATTTAAGTACAGTTTACAATAAGTGTTGGGTTTTCCATGATGCTAAAAGCACAAAGCTAGCTTGTCCGTAGAGTATAATATTTAATCTGTCAGGACTTTGGCATCTCTGCATACTGATCTTGATCTCCAATAAGAATTTTTTTTTATCCACTTATCCATATCAATAATTTAAGCGTATCAATTTAGTATCAGTTTAATAGTTTTTGAACGAGGACTTTATTGGATAATTTTGCTCTTGAAAAATGACGTGACGTCTTCCATTTCAATGTGACAGATCCAGGTTCAACCATCCCTTATGTAAATATAGCCTAAGCCAGGGCTGCTCACTTTTTCGGCTCGCAAGCTACTTTTCAATCGTCCAAGTCATGGCGATCTACCTCCTTCGCCCAGTCGAACAGTCCCAGTCTGTACGCCTGACTACTACTAATAATGATGAGTAGTAGCGTCAACCAACATTTCAACAACACTTACATACCGTAAGCGCAAAATCGATATGAAAACAAGGCTCTCAGCGAGGGAACCGTCACAATTATTCCATATATTCATAGTCATTACTCATTGCACAGATGACTTGCACTGATTGGAGTCATCACAGACCAAAATCACTTTATTGTAATGGCAACAACAGATTTTGCTATTATAATTTCAACTGACCGTGAAGAAAAACAAACGTATCTATATTTATTATATTTATTGTGTCACAACAACATCAATCCAGTGGACTAAGCTAAAGGATCCAGAAGCTCAGCATAACATTCTGTCCGGGGTGTATGGTGGTTCAAGTGTAGATAGCACGTAGATAGCAAATGCTGCTCAGCCATGCAAGAACACTTGACTGCTCCGGCTCAACGGCGAGGACTCTTTAAACGTTCTACTTGTACAACTGTAGAATGCTGGGCCACTTGAAATGGGAAAACAAACTGGAGGCCGAACCATACTAAATGGAGAGAGCGATAGGGAGGGAGAGGGTGATTAGTGCACACGTCACCCCACCAGAAATTGAATCTGATTAAATATGAATGAATAGCGACCCTAACCAAAGTGCTCTGGGCTGAGTTGCAGATAGGCATGGAGGCACTGCTTTGTCTTAGCAGGGCCAAAACAGATCCACCATGTGGTTCGCAAACAATGCTGGACACAGCCGCTTGCCCACCAAGAAAGTAATACTTCTCTGCATCCATTGGTTTAGTTGTAGCCACGCTGCTCCTTTGTGTAGCTCACATGAGCGGTTTCAGGACAAAAAAAGGGCAAAAGGCAGAGACAAAACAAACGTAGCTGACAGAAATGCCTTCCGTTACATTCTGCCACCACAAGAATGCAAAGAACCCAGATGTAATGTTTTTCTGTCCATCACATTGTATAACATTTTAACCGTGCAGATTTTAGACTGCTTTACTCCGCATGGGCTCTGCAGTCAGAATGAGTTACGGCTAGCTCCGTACCGGTACAATATTAAGCTCATACCATGCCGGCCACCTCTTGCTTTGCAAATGGGTCCTTGTTGCAGAGAGGTTTTGCAGTGAGTTTGCACTAAGTACCATTAGCCTGTCGGACCGTAAAGCGCTTTAAACTTTAAACCTTATTGCCATTGGCTTAGTTAACAAAAAGACCAACCAATGGAATACAAATGTTTCATCATTCAGCTTGTCTTCACCACCATCTTCTGAGGTATTTATGTAGAAACGGGATTGCTTGCATGCAGCTCTGGTTTTCTATTGAGCGGTTTACACCACCATGCTCCTCTGACCTGTAGCTCTGTGGCGCTGCCTTTGTTAATGCTGCGTTAAGCTGCACTTTGTCGGTGGTGGTAAACATTTGCATGTATAATGAGCCACACAATGGGGAGATTTACGCCTAATCACAAGTCTGCCTGCCCACCCCTTTTGAAAAAGAAAAAGAATACAGCAACTTCCCCAAATTTTATGTCATCCAGAGAGGGCTACAACCAAATCCCCAAAATAGGGCACTTATGTTTTCTATTTCATTACTAGGACTGTTTTTTTTCCTCCGTTGATCACAACTAAATTCTTGACTTAACAGATACTTGCTCTCTAGCATCCTGCAGCTTCGGGTCTCTAACTTCAAGACTATCTAAGTAGGCCCCATTGCAATAACATCAATTACCTGACCTTGCCTTGCTGAGCTACTTGCTCCATTATTTATCTCCGAGCGGGGGGACGGTCCAATCCTCCTCCCCACCGCTCCATCCCATTAGTCCCATCTTGATGCCTCTATCTGATTCTGTTATCAGCTGCTGGTGATACAGAACACCACATTGGGCATTGGAGGCCTAGCAATGAATAATTGACAAGCCAGAGGCCAATTAAGAGCATCAGGCTGAGGGGAAGTGGTCATGTAATGGGCAGAAAGGTTTTTATTGTCACATCACATTTAAGACCAAGAGGAGTGTTTGCACATTGTACCTTGACTGCAGCTTGGCTGTGAATGATTGTACATTGATAACAGGAAACACACAGTTGGGATATTCATATCCCCCTCATTTTATTTTTATAATGCTGTTGAGTAGGGGTGCCGCTGATCTTAAAATGATTCATGGATCACTGATCGGATCAGTGGTCAAATATATAAGGGTTTTGCTGCTTTTTTTGCGATCGATACCAATTGTGGTTCATTGATGATCTATATATCCAGTTATTGTTGTTGTTTTTTGGACATGTGGGGGCACCCAGTCTCATGTCATGATCACCTATAAATCTTCAACATACTGGTGACAAACTGATAATGTTGCACACCACAAGAAACATCGGAAGCTGGGCATCATCATATCCGATTTTCAACAAGACTGGGCACACGTGGTGCATTTTGGGGCCTATCAATTGAAGGTAGATGCTAACAAAGAAACCAGACGACAAAAAGCAAGCTGTTTACACAGATTAAACACACTATACCATCTCTCAGTCAGCCCCTCACCGAGTTTTGCACAAACAAACAAATACCAGGCACACAAATCACATTGTCGCTTATCAATCAAAAATGCTCCTCACCTTTTGCGTTTTAGGAAGAAAAAAAAAGAAATCCCGGTATTTTTCATGTAAAGAATGTCCACCGGATATGCTGGGTTACACAGAAATCATTCCTTTTTTTGAGGTTCTTGGGAGGAACTAAGAAACTGAAGAGATTGAGGGGAGAGCAGCATCAGTTTGCACTCATTGCCACAATATTCACTCTTCATGCTTCATTTTTGGATAAAATCATAGGGTGCTTGTGCTCGTCGTAGGCATGTGGCTATGGAACCCAACAGACGTTTACTTGGGGTCACAGAACAGCGAGACAAAGTCCAACCAATTGCTCCATAGAGACCAATGCAAATCTGCTGACATCTTTCTCAAAAGAAAGTACACATTTTGGAAACTGGCAATAGAGCCGTATTTATGACACCTCTTTGCCCACCTCTAATGCTGCATTCACACCAAAAGCATATTATTGGACGAGTAGCTTCCATGCAAAGTGAAGGCAAGTAAGTATGGTTGCAGAGGAAGCAAAAGATGCTACACAAAACAGCGTATGGAGCAGAGCGAATAAATGACCTTTTCTAGTTTGAGGATGTGCATTTACTAGCTTTAAAACCTCGCCCGTTTGACCCGAGACTAAAACTTCACTAACTTTTTTGTTACGCTTTTTTGTTTTGTCTGAAAGATTTCGTTTTTGCTGAGTGGCATCTTCATTTTCCAGTAAGTGTGTACCAGTAACATATATACTGATATTTGCACATCTGAAACAAACTCACAAGTGTTCCCTTTTATTATCACACCAGAATTATACCAGTAGACTGTAGTTGCAGATATACAGTATGTGCCTGCAGTTTTTGGAGCAGAGGCCTGAAAATGACTATGAAGCTTTTTTTTCACCCCGTCCCCAAAATCCCCATAATAAAAAATAGAATTCATTAAATTGGCTGTGCATTCTTCTAGGTCGGCTGTGGAAAATTTTATTTTAAGGGTAACAACAAGCTTGAGCGACTAATCTTTCAATCCGATCGACTGCTCCATTTTTGTGTGTGCCTGAATTCCTTCAGATGCTGGGTTTAAAAGTTTAGTCCTGGTTGGCAGCTAGCACCGGAAATTGGTGAATGACGTGTCCTGACTTGAAGTATCTGACATGAAGGTGAAGCTAAGCTTCCAATGTACTCTGTTTTGTTCACTAACTCTTATTAGTTACATTTCAATAATCTTCAATTTTAGTGTTAAACAAAATAATACATTCAGAACTGATTTCTGATTTGTGGATATTTGATATACCTAAAAAAATAAAATCCGTAGTAAAAAAATATTCCTCCCGTCACAATACTCTGGAACAAATAAAGCGCAGATATGAGTCCGTATCAGTCATTCCTTCCGTCTTCACTCTTGTGAATGTCATGCACATCTGGCAAATACTGCTTTTAAAAAAAGGATCTCCTGTTTTACGCATTTATTAAAAACTGGCAGATATTTTCCAGCAACATTCGTGTTCTCCCGACAGACAAATTGGGTGTTCGGGGAGTTCATGCTAGCTTTTTCAAATCTGACCAATTACAAATGGATGCAGTTCATTTTACTTTTACTAATATTACATACAGAGTTTATTTTTCCTGTGCCGATGTGAGGGTTTTGGGGAGAGACAATTGCATGTGTACAGACTGTAAAGCCCGCTGAGGCAAATTTATAATTTGCGATTTTGGGGTATACAAAATAAAATGGAATGAAACTTAAAAACATTTCCATGCTAACAATGCTCTGTGGGCTACATCTTTAGAGTAATCCCACTGTCAATTCAAATACAAAGAGTGGATCTGTAATGTGCCAGCAAGAACTTTATTAACTAACAGGATATACAACAAGAATTGAATTTGTCCTTTGGGAAATTATCAAAAAATAAACACAATACCAAATTAAAGCTGCGAGCAGCGATGGACGAGTCCTCGCTACTCTGCGCATGTCGGGGGACTGGCTGGACAAACGAGGTCAAGAACACCTGCGGCGGGTTCAACTTGTTTCCACCAGGTGTCTCTATGACTAGGATTCAAACTTATCACATGGATGTCTACAGGGTAAGGAGGTAATGACATGAGAAATATGGAGCAGATTAGGTAATGTATGAGTTGAAACAACTTAAATTCTCAGTGATAATGTGATAATTAGGCAAAAAATGTATATATTCATGTTACGCCACAAGAACTGACTCTTTGGCAGGCGGCAGAATTTATTCGAGGAGCACTCAGTGGTCGGAGCTACTTGTCCTACGTATGTTGAGATTGAGTCATTGTTATAACTTTATAACAACAATAAATCACCCACAACAAACACTCTTAACAGGGTAAAACACCACAACACAACAGCTTGTGACACAAACAATTTGTAACATATAATTGTACATTTATAAAAAGGACCCCGCCGAACTGCATGCTGGGTACAGCTGACAACAAGAAGTAACTCTGTTGCTACATGAAAACACAGAAAAGAGCGATACAAGAGAAACAACGAGAGACCACAGATGCACAACACAACTTTGCCCAACTTTGGAGCGGTGTCTGTTTGGAAGGTTTTCGGTTTTGGAAACTCCAATAACTCCAAGTTATGTTGGATCAGAAAACTATTTCTTGCAAAGTCTGTCAAAGTCTGTCAATCCTCTGGTGGCAACAGCAACACTAGCAGACACAACAAGCTAGCACGCTAACGAGCTAACATGCTAACAAGCCGACCAGTTGCGAGCAAGTTGGTCGGCGAGCAGCGAGCAGCTGTTCGGCTAGTCGCCGGTCCATTCCGGGTTCAATGAATTATGTGTTTGCTTGAAAACGCAATACTGTCACATACCGGGATGCCGTCAATCTATCTAAATACCGCGATATGGATTTTTGGCCGTACCGCACAGCCCTACGTTGAACTAATGTTTTTTGATAATTCAAAATGGAGGAAAATTTAATTCGTTGCATTTAAATGCCATGGTTGACCTTTTTGTGGCGCATAACAAAGAGCACAAGTGTGCCAAATTTCAAGTCAATCGGTTGTTTGGGGGGAAAAACTGACTTACTGTTGTACTTTTAGAATTTCATGGGGGTGCTATAGAGGCATTTCTTCTATTTTTAGGGTGTCACCTATTTTATATAGGTCTTGATATGCATGCCAAATTTAACAACTTTTTGGATATGATAAAGCCCCCCAAAAAGGGGAGATAGTGTAGTAGCGGTAACCAAACGGAACAACAGTGCTGCGTGCCGCAAAACAAGTCAGTATAAAAATAACAAACGAGCCTCTCATCTGTCAGAAGCGAGGGAACCGTCATTACCATTCCACACCTTCTTGGTCATTACCTTAATCGATGACGATTGCACGGGTCAATAACCGCGTGGACTGATGCCTTGTTGTGAATGATACTTTACATTACTTTAACATTATCAAGGTCTTGGGTCTTTTCTGACATTTTAGAGGGAACTAATGAATCTGCGAGGAGCAGGGTGTAAAGTAAAAAACACAAAACTTCATGTTGCCACCAGGCTGCACAATGACGGATTAAAAATTATATGGATGTCTACAAGGTAAGGAGGTCATGACATACGAGAAATATGGAGCAGATTAGATCATATATGGCCAACTTCAATTTTCATGGCTAACTGGTATTTTGCCAAACGAACCACGCTCACATAGTTGAAGCTTCATGCAATTTCTAAAGACAACGATCTCAACATTACACTGCCCAAATTAGAAAAGGATCCTAATAATAATAATAGTTCCTTAAAATACAATAGGTTCCTCTACGACTAGTCGTAGCGAGTACGCTAATAAAATAAATAGGTTAACAGTAAGGCTCATGAATACAAACCGGTTCATTTTAAGGATCAGTCTTTGTGAATTGCATATAGGTATGTTTAGATTAGTGGAAATCCAAAATACAAAGTACATGATTGGGGACGTGACGCATTCTACATCCTTTTTTTTTGCATGCATATAGTAACGAATACACCCACTGTTAACACCTAGGATTTTTAACATTGCAATTGTGCTTAACAAGTAAGAAGAGCTGAAAAACATTTTTCTCTACCTTGCCAGGGTGGAGAGGTCCACAGACCAGGTCATCAAGCCTGTTAATGTAGAGGCATTGTCCAAGTGGGTGGGAAAGATCCCAGCTGATGTAGTGAGGGACATGGCTGTCATCGCCCCCATGCTGTCCAGACTGGGCTATGACCCACATGCCAACCCCCCAAACTATGGCCGGCCTGACCCCAAAGTCCTGGACAACACCAGAAGGGTGAGTACAGACCAGTACAAGCTCTTTCAATTTTTTATTTAGGATTTTATTGTGAGTCAGTCTTAAGTTTTTATTTGTTATTAAAGTTAAGAATCTCAATTTATCCTTACGGAAGTCACAGTTCTATGAAGGAAATGTGCTATTCTACTTTTACACTGAGAGTTGAATGTGAAGATTTATACAACCCTCAATAGATGTTCTTGCGGTTATTCTGAAGCTACAGCCAGCAGTTGACTAGGTTAGCCTTCACCGAGACAAATGACACTGACCAGAACACAGTCCAACACATAAACACCATAGTTTTTAATGCTAACCGTGTATGAATTTGGCTTTAGCTTCATACACTGATAAAAAAAGGGAGCACTTAATCATCACCGTATAACTCCAAGTTGATTATGGTAAATGGACGTTATTTGTGTATATATGGCCAAAGAGGCGGACCCGCGGTTCGGAGTTTAGGTTGAAAGACTGGAAGGGATGGTTGCGTTTTAGGTGAGATTTTAGGTTAGTAGTGTTTAGGGCTGTCACGGTGTCAGAGTTGTGTTGTGCAATTATTCCACCAACATGATTTGCGATAACCGATGATATTGCAATTTTCAGACCATTTTATGCCACTGATAATGACTATATAATAGCATAGTAATACTGGAAAGTGGCTCTGTGGCTGCAGGGAGAGATGGGGCGGCCCAGTTCTGCTAACAATCGGCTGGCCCGAAAAGAACGCAGGACGGCGGTCCGGGCACGTTGCCCTTCGTTCCTCCCGGCCAAAGAAGCGAACGAGCAGTCTGGAGGAACCGACAGTAGTTCAGGTTGAAAGACTGGGTGCATGGTTGTTATTTCAGGTGAGATTTTAGCTTAATTGTGTTGCCTGTTTCCGTTGGCACTGTTTTTGAACAAGGTCGACGTACCGGATTGTTCACGTTATTGGCTCTCCTTTCATTCGGCTTAAAGCCAAAGTGTTCCCACCCCGAAGCCGAAGATTGCGACTTTGTAACCAAGTCCATTTGGACACAGTGCTTTCACGCATTCTATTTCCCTGTCGGCGTCCGCTCTGCGTGTGGACGCGCTGCCTAAGCCCCGCCTCCGCTTTCGGCAATGAAAGCAGACAAGAGGACAGCGCGACTAAAATGTTAGTGACGTTCATTTATATGTAAAAAGAAAATCTATCGCAGGACCAAAAATGAATGCGCTCATAATCATATTTTGTGCGATAAGTAAATATATCAATTATTGCGACAGGCCTACTTATATAGCGCTTTTCTAGTCATCCGACCACTCACACGGCTTTAACACTACATGTCATCATTTAACCATTCCCATCCATTCACACACTGATGACAGGAACCACAATACAGTGCCACATGCCAGCACTAACCGTCACAATAATCACACTGAACAGGAGCAATGTTTGTGTTAAGTGTCTCGCCGCTCTGCAGTCTGATGCTCTTCACTGTTTTACTTTTATCTCTCGGTCTGTGAAGGCCAAGGTTTCGAGCTCTTACCAGCACTTAAATTCCCAATTTTTCAGACAGATGAATTGTAAAATGAAAGCGGTGCTAACGTCCATAAGTCACAGTCGTACTCCTTCTGAGAAAATGTGTGAATGATAAGACCAACTAGGAAGGAGATGACTTAACAAGCTCATTGGATACATGAGCTTAGGATCAATAGTGAGACTGAAGAATACTGTGAGCATGTTTTCCAAATTTGATCCCCAGCCTTTTTTACTGCTCAAATGTCTAAACAATTCTGGCTAATTAGTTGCTTCCAAGCACACAGGCTGGAACTCTTCCCAGGTGTCTGGAAATTTTCCTTGAGCATGACTCATACTTAAATATTTCCATGAAAACTTATAACATGTACAAATGTACCACAGACAACTGGGAAAAATGCAATAACTGCTGTCTTGAATTTTCACCCAGGCTCATCCAAATATTTACCATCTGTCTCATCTCCTCTTTTGCCCTGATTTATACACAGAATATGCAGTTTGGGCGTAGCTGCTAAGAGCAGAAATAGTTTCGAAGCAGTCAGCAGGACGGCGTGTTTGTACTGTTTATGTGACCAGTGAGTGAGGACTAGCATTAGAAGTTATCACTCGAAGTGGTATCGGCTCTCTGTTCTTAGTGAAGGCACATTTACCGACGTCTGACTTTACATTGATTTAACCCAGAAATCTAATTTTATGTACTCGCTAATGACTTTGTTAAAATTACAAAACATAGACTGTTTGTAAGGCCTCATTAAAGTGAAGCTGTTCTTGGGGTAGATGAAGCACAATCAATAGCTTTTAAGTTGTGTTGTAGTTGTTGTGATTTCTGGTGAGAAATGGATATTGGAATCAATAAGTTATTTGTTTCTCCACAATATTAGTAATGACTCAGTGGGGGGATGAGAAACAAATGCCTCAAAACTTCCTCATCTAGCATACTGTGCTTTGGTTCCACGGCCGGAAGCAACGCTTATCCTGTCATAATGATTAAATACCATCATCAGCTCTCGGCCATCGTGGACTTTTCGGCTTCTAAAGCTCAACTGCAACTGGTATTCAACAAGCATTGAAAGAAGGTGTCTAAAAGATTTATTAAAGTGGACCTCATGGGATTCCCGCGTCTTACTCATAAACTTTATATATGAAATCAACTTAATCGTCCTGGCATTTCTTATTGGTTTGTCACAGCAGTTTTGAAGTTGTTCGCCATTGCCATCTTGGAGTAGAGCCTTTTTTTTTTTTTTAACCAGCCAACAGTAAGTGACCATGTGACCAGACACTGAATCCGGATCTGGTAGAGGACTGTCAATCACAAGCTTCTTTACATAGTTGACTCCAAGGTGCTGTAAAGAAGGGTTCAGCCAATAGTTGAACCCAAATTGAAGAGGAACAATGCGGTTCTCTTCCTGGTCGTGGAACAACAAACCACCTCTTTACTCTTGCAAGGATCATGATGATCATGGATTTGTTTTGTGGACCTGGAGAAGCCGTATGTCCGGGTCCCCCAAGAGATGGTATGGGAGGTCCTGCGGGAGTACTGGGTGACGGTGTCCCTTCTTGAGGCCATTCATTGCCAGTTTGCCTAAAGCGAGCACTTTGTTCTTCTTTCTGTGCATTAATTTGGAGCCGTTTACGATGGGTGTTGGCCTTCCTCGTTGGTGGTAGTCATTGACAGGATATCAAGAGGTGGTCGAGGGCAGGAGGGTTCACAGTTTGGGGTGCAGAAGATCTTGTTGCTGCTTTTTCTGATGACGTGTTCCTGATTGCATCTTCGGTCTGTGACCTCCTACTGAAACTGTTTGCAGTCGAGTGACAACCCTAGTGATTTTTTTTGGAGGGGGGGGGGGGGGGGGGTTAATAGCCTCTTATTTTAAAGCTTTTATTTGACCTACAAAACAGTGATTGACCCTAAATTACCTCCTGGTCCAATCAGGTATTTTGGGGAAACTACCAAGATAACAAAGACACCTTTGCATTGCTGGCTGAACTGCCGCAATTACCAAATATCAGAAAAATCTGAAAAAAATGAAGTTAGATTAATCAGTCCAAACCAAAACTGATACTTTTCCAATTAATTACATCCACCTACCCTCACCTACACCTTACAAGTGACGCACACACCCGGTCTCAAAGAATTTTAGTGTGCAGTTCAGACAGAAGCATTTTGTTTGAGGACTTAATACCACTGGAATCCTTCCACCCAGATAGTGTGTGTGCGTCTACTTCCACTGTGAAAACGTCCCCTGCTGATTGTGGCTCCACACTGGCAGCTTGTCAAAAACACTGACTGGACTGTGTCCACATTGAACCTCCTGAGGGCAAGCCTTAGTTAGGCATGCCGGTCCGACCTGCAGCTTGTACCAGCAGGCACCTTGGCTGACCTAATTGTGCCAGTCTCTCTGAGAGTGGGCTCTGCTGACGGGCGCTGTAGAATACAACTTTAGGTGAAAAAGAGCCCAGATGTCAATTTTGTTGCAATTCTTTTTTGGGAAGTTGCCTTGTGTGTTGCCGTGTGAGAAACACTGCTATATAATACCTTGTTTGTCATTGGTGTTGAATGCTGCACCAAGACCAGCCGAGCAGTTTGTTTGATGCAATTAGAAGGTAGTTTGTCATCTTCAACAGTGCTTGTGCTCTCTGATAATACTCTAAATCCAAAATCCTCAAATAAACCATTGTTGTGTAGAAACTGATTTGTAGCGGTTTCTGTAAGTATCTGAGAGGAAGGGCAAGTTAAAGAGAGGTCTATAGCTGGCCAACGCCTTTTTTTTGTTAAAGAGATTTAATCACACTACATAGGACTGTGGTACATAACCTGTCAGTCGGTTATTCAGTAAAGAGGAACTAAAGAATGAAAGCTGTACGAGCAGCCTTGTGGGCTTTAAGCGACGGGTAGATGTAAAAATTGTTGATCAACTGTGTATATTAATAGAGAAAGGAAAGGTAAATATATATATATAGTTTTACAGCATTGATACGGTTCCTGCATGGGAGAATAAATCTGTTCCAGATGCGAGCAGGAGGTAATTATGTCTGTTAGTTCATTAAAGGAGTTTATGTCGGTTTACTCCAGAGGATACAAGTCAAGTGCAAAAGTCAAACAATGACCTGGTACATCTTCACCATGGTAATCCACATGATGAAGTCAGGTTCAATTCATTTGTTTAGTTCTAAAAATGGCTCTTTGTTTTTCCAGGTCTTTAAAGGTGAATTTCAGCTACCAGATTTCCTAAAAGAACAATCACAGGTACAGTAACATTTCTGCCTGTTGTTGATCTTTTTCTTTTTTTTACAAATCCCCCTTTTTTTATTATCTAATTTGAGTTCAATCATCTGCAACTCAGTCAAAATCTCCATACAGATTTCCATCTCCTCTTGTTTTGGCCATAAAATGCAGCTTTTTGTTTTCTGGTCTCCGTTTTCTGGTTGTCTTTGTGTTTTGGGTCTTGGTTAATTGTTCATTAGTCTCTTTCTGTTGCCCTGTTGTTTCTTTGTTTAAATGGCTTGTATTGGCTTAAGAACACTTGCGCCCTCCGCTGGTAGTCAGATGAAGCTGCATCGACTTGCTGACTATGAATTTGTATCAACGCAATCATCCTCTTGTCCATTGAAATGAGGTCGTAAATGCACAAATTGAGTGACTGTGGGTGTGTTCTTATGGTTTTAAGTAGTGCATTCTGGCATTTCCTCTGGCATCCTGGGAGCACACACTGTAACGTCTGCCTCTGGTTCCTTCTTACAGATTCAGAAGTCTGCAGAGAGGCCCAAACCCAGTTAGGAGCAGCAGGGAGGCCGTCACCTTAACACACAGGTACAGCTCCTCTACTGCATTTATCTGCACTTTGGAGATTTTGTACATAAAACACGTATTGAGTTTGTGAAATGTGTGTGGCAATATGTTTGTGGTCACAATAACACACAATTAATACATCAAAATGATTGATTTTATAATCCATTTAAGTAAATAGTACAGTCTATATCTATCTTGTTGTTCTCAATGCCCTGGGGTTGGTTTCTGTGCAATAGCATAGGTTTAGAATTTAGAATACCATGTACCTATAATCATAGCAGCTTCATACGGCTTCACTGCTGCCTCCAGAGCCTCTGACCTGCAGACCAGAAGTAGTCACTCTGCCGGCCTCCGCAGAGAGCCAACAGATCCTCCATACTGCTGGAGGAACCATCCATACTGCTGGGCCTGATAGAGAGAAGCAGAATCAAAACCAAGACTGCTTGTGCTGACTGTCAGTAAATGGAGAGGCTCAGAAACATGAGCACTTTTTGTCCACAGTGGCCCCCAAAGATGACACAAAATCAAAGTTCCTTGGATTTATTTTAAATAACCTTAAAATAACACTGATCCTTATTCCCCAGTGAATCTCCTAGTACAGTCACTGCCCTTGAATTATGCACGAGGGGATCTTAATAATTGGATTCTTTAGGACTTAGCACCTTAAGGCTGGCGCATGTTTCTGCGCCTGTCTTTACACGTCGTGTCGACGCACTCGTTTCAATTCATGGTTCTAAAAGTCTTGCGCGTGTTGCAAAGCAATTCACCGCCAGAACAACATGTGGAGTAACGTTTTTTGTCGAAGACGACCCGAGAGTCCCGTCTTTGTGTGAATTGCTCTGCAAACACGCACAACCCTTTTAACCATGAATTGAAACAAGTGCGTCGACATAAAGGTGCATAAAGACGCAGAAGCATGCGCCAGCCTTTACGTGTCCTTACGTTTCTCTGAAAACTGGGCTTTACTCAGCATTTACCAGCAAGTAGCCAATCAGATGCTAATGATAGCATAGCTATGATGCTAACCGGGGCCTGAGAGCAACTCGCATGGTATTTTACCTTTTTGTTCTCAGTTTGATAAGAGGCTAGAATTTTTATTTATTTTCCCTGTTGTCTTTCAAGCCACTTTTCATAAATTCCGAAGTGAGAGATCATCAATTTAATTTTTAAACACTGGCAATTTTACAAAAATTGGAAGCTAGGTTTAAATCTGCCCTAACATTTTCTGGAATCTCTCATCTGGCGGTGGTCTCACAGCTGTTATCTCGCTGGATCTCACTGGTTAAAGTTGTTAAAAACAAACAACTCGAATGTTAAAATTAATATTCAAATGTAAAAAAAAAAACACCACAACGGCGCGACTGTCTGCTTAGCGGGTGGGCGCGTGCCTGTACTGACTGCACTGCTTTGATTATTTGCTGTTTCGTGCCAAAGAAAAGTTCCGTGTTTACAGCACGGCTCGCTCGGAGCATTCAATGTCGGTACTGTAACACTTTCAGTTTCAATCACTGAATGAAGGCGGACATATTTGGGACAAGAATCGCAACCTTAAATTGCTTGCACAAAGCTCTTGATCAGCACTCAGCATTTGTTTATTGTTGTTGTTCATTTAAGCCACTTTGCGGAGAGAGATATCTCGAGATCGAGATCTGCGGTCTTGGCCGTTAGGTAATTTACCTATTTTGTGTAGGTAATATGTTAAATCTGTTTAAACTTAAATTAATTACCTATACAAGTAGTTATGTCTTGTTGTATTAATTTGTCCTGTTATTGACGTGACTAATGCGCAACCAGATATTCGAATGTTTTTTTTAAAGCGAATATTTCTTTTTTGACCAATTTTTACAGCCCTATCGGACACACTTATAACAGTAATGAAATAATTAATAATTGCTTTCATTTTCTTTAATTGTCAGAGTAGTTAGTGTTTTGTGAAAAACCGATTAGAAAGTATTGGCGACCTCAAATGTTCTCTTAAGATTAATATCTGAGCAAGATCGTAGAAGGTTTGGTTCTGATTTCATGACAATGAATTCTCATGTGTTTAAACAGGAACCAAGGTGCAGCGGAATCACAGACATCGTCTTGCCTCTCACGCTTCAAAGGGCACAGCAGGACAGTCTCCTCACCAGAGAACTCTTGGCCTTCCATGTTGTGCAGAATGTTAAATGTTACTAATACGTCTCACAACTACAGAATGTCTGCCGATTGTTATTTCTTTGTGTCATGTCACGCTATACAAGTTTTTTTTAAATAATTTCTGGCTCCTTAGAGAAAAAAAAAAAATCTGTGATTCTGTTGTAAGAAACTGCAGTGAACAACGCAAGACACATTTATGAATGAAAAATTAGCTTTTGGAAGACGCCATACCAATTTTAATGTTCTTAATCTTTTTTCATGCCTTTGTATTGTGAAACATCATGGATACTAACATGATAAACATCTTTTTTTAAACCTGGGGTCTGTCTGGTTTTATCTGCTGATGTGTAAAAATATCCATCCATCCATTGTCAAACCGCTTATCCTGCACGCAGGGTCACGGGGGCCTGGAGTCTATCCCAGCCAACTTTGGGCGATAGACGGGGTACATCCTGGACTGGTCGCCAGCCAATCCCAGGGCTCCACAGAGACATACAACCACTCACACTCACATCCACACATCTACAGGCAATTTAAAGTCCCCAATTAACTTGATCCCCAGAGCATGTCTTTGGACTGCGGGAGGAAGCCGGAGAGAACCCACGCAGACACGTGGAGAACATGCAGACTCCACACAGAAAGGCCTCTGGATGGAGTCGAACCCAGGACCTTCTTGCTGTGAGGCGACAGTGCGAACCACCACGCCACCGTGCCGCCACTGTGTAAAAATAAAGACACACAAAATGGAGAGTAGAGTAAAAATAGCTAAACACCTAAACTATAAGTAAAAATCTGTCTGTAAGATCTGATAATCGCAGTTGCATGAACCTTTCTGTGGTTAACACTTTTGGATGTTATGTGATGTCATTCTTTACATGAACAAAGATGGAGTACCAAGGAAACAAATTCCCGTCATGGATTTCTCGCCATTTGGGAAGTGCAGCACTACTTTAACTTTCTTTAAGTTTACAGTGAATCAGCAATTCACCAGAGAAATATTTGCCTTGATTTGGAGCTGTTGTGTTTGCCTGATAAATGTTGGTAGAAGAGATAAATATATGGCCCTCAAGCTGCTAGCTCCACTGTGAGCTCTTTTGTTGTTTGGTGTCACACTGGTTACAGCCTTTAAAAGCTTTTTTGGTTGTTGTTGTTGCTAAAGGGATCCAAAATATTAGTTATGGGCCAGAAAAAAACAAAACGAGCTAAAAAGAAAACTAGAAAAAAGTTTAGTTTACATTTGAAAGAAGCCGCTATAATAGTCAACTACCAATTCTCTTTACTTCAGTTATCTGATCCATTGATGATATCAAAATGTTGATAAGCAGTATTTATTTCTCTAGCAGTAAAGAACACATACAGATACAGCATTGCTGCTACCAGACACCATTGTTTCGCCTCCGCAAATTGCACAACTGTAACAGTAGCAGCCTCGTGGGGAGGTGCTGCGCTTATGTGATTGGTAGAAACAGATTGGCTCCGTGTTGAAAACTGCATTTGCGAGGACATGAAATGACTTAAGTATATTGTATAAATGTTAGACGAATGTTTACTTTCGAGAATCTTTAACTTGTATATACAAAATATTCAGTGAATTTATTGTCATGAAAGTGTTGTACGGATAAATGTAAGGAATCATTGATAAATCTTTGTATTGCAGTTCAAACTTGGAGGAATGGTGTTTTTGAACTTGCCAAAATAAGGCTTTTACTTTGCAGAAATCTCCAAATCTGTACAGTGAAAATGTTTGATATTCATCATGGTAGTAGTCAGAGAGGTCCTTAACACAGGTGCATTGGTCTTGGTCTGGAACGATTTTATTGGAGTTCAAACTTTAAGAAAGTGTTTTTGAACGAGCAAAACTAGGGCTTTTACTTTTGTAGAAATCTCCAAATCTGTACGGTAAAAATAGTCAGAGAGGTCCCTTTAACAAAGTTACATTGGTCCTGCCTTGGAACTATTGATAAATCTGTTTTTATTGCCTTTTCATAAATGGGAGAAATGGTCTTTTTGAACATGCAATTATATGGCTTTTACTTTGGTGAAATCTCCAAATCTGTACAGTAAAAATGTTTGATATTCATCATGGTAGTAGTCAGAGAGGTCCATAACACGTGTGCATTGGTCGTGGTCTGGAACTATTGATCAATCTGTTTTTATTGCAGTTCAAACTTTGAGAAATGGTGTTTTTGAACGAGCAAAAATAGGCCTTTTACTTTGAAGAAATCTCTGTACAGTAAAAATACTTAATATTCTGCATGGTAGTAATCAGAGAGGTCCTTAACACAGGTACATTGATCTTGGCCTATTGGTAAATCTGTTATTGCAGCTCAAATGTGGAGAAATGGTGTTTTTGAAATTTCAATTATAGGGCTTTTACTTTGGAGAAATCTCCAAATTTTTACTGTACAAATATTTCTATTATTGTACACCAGTAGTCCTGTACACGCTTAGTTCTATCATTGTCTGGAATTTGATATTTAAATAGCCTTTTTTCGGGTTACTTGTTTAATACTGTCAGCATATACGTACACTAAAATTCAAGCATTGGCTGAGTTGACCGTAGTTGACCACTAGGGTATTGCACAAAAGTAGAATAAAAAAATCCAGGATAAGTGAAAAAGCACGGCTTGACTTGTGAGTGTGATCCGCTCGTCGCGGCTTAATCGTTTGCACGTTTGCTGAGCCGGGATGAGAAGGGGGAGCTGCAACTAATTATAGAAACGTATGAGGAGGTGAAGCATATAACGTTAATATGCAAAAAAGGGGGAAACGGCAGCTGTAATTAAACAGATAAAAAGTCTGGCAGACAATCGCGGAGGATTTTAAAAATATCTACTAAAGGTTGGCGCATGCTTCTGCGTCTGCGTCGTTGCGTCGACACACTCGTTTCAATTCATGGTTCTAATGACGGCTTGTATAAACGGTCATATTTACGCATTTCTTCCGACAAAAGCTCTTCAATCTGATCCGTTCTCTCGTAAACATCCTTCGTTTTAATAATGGCGGTATTGTGCTCTGAAACTGGAAATGTGAGACTCCGTAAAGGCTGTAGTTAGCGGGCCAATCGCAGCCTTGCGCGCTGCGGAAGGCTTGCGTCGAAAGCGACGCAAGCCTAGAAAAATTAGTTGACACACATAAGGACGCAAGGAGGTGTGAAAAGACACCCAAGGGGCACGCAAGGGGGTCTCGCGTCTGCGTCGCACTGAAAACGCAGAAGCATAAACTAGGCTTTACTAGGAAAGTTCTCTATAAGCTGTGTCAAATATCTTAATATACAATTAATGTTCATACAAAACAAACAAGACTGAACAAAAACGATCCTGGCAACAGGTCAAGATAAAATATAAAAACATTTTGCAGGCTGATAAGTGCCTTAACAGTTTGCAAATGGTTTATAAATGACTGATTACTGACTGAAGATGCCTGCTCACATATTTTATCTAAACTGATTTTAGCAGTTAAGAAGGCTCATTTGTCTGGCGGGGGGAGGGGGGCACCAGCACCAGTGTTACGTGCCTGGTTTGTGTTTGCGCGTGAGTGGGTGTGATTTTCTTCAGGTGTGCTGGCAATGTCACTCCTGGACCTGATCAGCATGGGATTAAATGGCTGTGCCAAGCCAGAGTGGGGTGTTGCTTCAGTGGAAGCCAGAGCGGAACCAGAGAGGTGTTAGGTGCTGCCGTGAGGAGTTTTTGGGAGCCAGTGAAGGAGCCATACGCCATACCAGTCTTCCTTTCGGAGATTGTTTTCAGTTGCCTTGTGTTGTCTTCCATCATTAAATATCCTTTTTTGCCATTGGTCCAGATCTCCCGGGTTTATTATTTTAACTTAACACGCCTAGACACTTTAGGGACGTATCAACCAGCCTTCACCCCAGCTGAGGAATTGGCCTGTGATGGAAGGGATTCAGGGTGGGACAGTTACTGACTTTCACCTGCAGAAACTGTCCTCTTCATACATGGTGTAGAAGCTAAGCCAATGCTTTAAGCCACTGAGGCATTTTAACAGGAAACCTAATTGATATGCTGCTATTTTACCATGAGGGATGAATGAGAGTCCAATTGCTTTTCAGCAAATGAAAAGCAATTGGACTGTAAATGAGTCCATTTATTTGCCACATTATGCTTTAAATCACACGTTTCACAGATACATCCAAATGGAGCGTAACATACTAAACATGGAGCGTAACATGATACTAAACAGTGGTCAAAAACTGTTTTTTCCTAGTCCGGTTGGAAACACCTGACGAGCCCCCAAAGGCAAAGAATAAATCGCCATGGTTACTTGGCTCGGTTTAATTCAACCTGCTTTCCTGCAACCAAGTCAAAGCTAAATTCATCCAGGATGACCTAAATATCCCGGCTTACTCACGTATCCTGTTTTTGTGCAATAACCCTCTGGTTAAAATTAACAAGACTATTTGAGCGCGGATCAGCTTTTGAGGAACTGAGATAGCCTGTCAATCATCTCGTTAATTTGAGCTGGACAGTGGGACATTTGATCGACTTAGTTGAACCTCGTACCAGGAACAGGGCCCAAGTCCACTAGTAAGACTAGCTTCATGGGCATAACAGCTCACTGGATGGAGCTGAAGGTGAATCAGTCGTTCTTGCATGCAGTAAATTCCCAAGTTCACACCACTACAACCGCATTGCTGAGATATTGGAGGAAATCCACTCAGAATTTGGCCTGTCAAATAAAAGCAGTTCAACATATGTTATAGCAGATGAAGACAAGAATGATGACACAATCGGATGGACTATCCTTTGCAACCATCAATGCTTCATAAGAAAAAGTGTGCAATCATCACTCATCCTACCACCTGCCACTCATACACTGAGCTTAGTGTGTACCACTGATGCAAAAAAGACGATGAACGACTCTCTCACACTCTCCCGCCTGAACCACACAGTCATGGGCAAGTGCTCAAATATGTGGAATGCATCAAAAAGACCCAAGACGGCAGATCTTCTCTCCAAAATGAACAATTTAAATGTTGAAAACACCAGCTGAAGAAACCGAAGGCCAGAAAAGACAGCAGATCACAAGCCACAGCAAAGCTGAGTTAGAGACCCTTTGTTTCATGGAAGACACCAGAAAATACCTACTTTCTCTTCAGCAGTACCCGCTTATCAAGTTCATTTTTGTTTAACACAACCCTCACTTTTTCAGCTCTGGTTGAGACTTCTCTTGTGTGCACGACTAATACTAATATTCCATTTGCATAAGAGGTAGTTAACACCAGAAATATTTGAAAAGTTGGGTGTTCTTAAAGGTGTCACACGCGGTGAGGTCAAGTTGGGGTTTTTCTTGTCTCC